GTTTCAGAGCCACCGAGCGATGGTTCGGAAAGGCGCCAGGTCATCAAGAGTAAGATCATGGCAATCGGAAAAATGGCAAGGGTGTTCTCCATTCTAAGGTAAATTGGGAATCCATTCATAAATTTGACTTGGTAATATTTTAAAAACTTGACCAACGAACTCTTTTGTATACAGGGAAGAATCGGAACGCGTCATGGAATTAAAGAGCGTGACAGGCGATGGAAAATTACCTTATGGCACTTTGGCCTTGGGGGCCGAGGGAATCAAGAGAGGTAGTCATTTATCGATCTTGTACGTAATATTGGAATTATAAAGAATAACACATTTCATTTCTCATCATTTCACGAAAAGCAATCACTTCTTTCGAAGAGGCACGTCGTTCTGATCTTGAGAACGAACGCTTACCACCGACGCGAAAAGAAGTAGACGATGTTGAACGTTCTAAAGCTATTAAAGAGGCAATCCAGGAGGTTGACGACGATCAAGCGCTCCAGGAGGTTGCTGAAGTATTTATTAAAGATGATGAGAGAAGGAAAAGTTTGAAAGAAGCTGTGAATGTTAATCTTTGAGAGGATGATGCTGTGAGGGAGATCATTATATCGATTTTGGGCGCGTCCCTTGATGATCGTTTTCATTTTTAATTTAGTAGCTATAACATCTAATGTCATTAAAATAAGTATACGTATTTATTCGAAAAATTGCATGCATTACATGTAAATTTATCTTTTTCACGTCTTGAATTCAGCTTCATTCATTAAATCGAGTAACACTTATATTCTCTATAAAAAAAAAAAAGAATTACTTTATTTTTTAAACCGACGTGCGCATGTGTACGTGCGTACGTGCGTTCATTATGTAGATTATTAGTTCATATTTCATAAAAAATTTATGAATTACTGAAAAAGGATCAAGGTAAGATGTAGGCGTAAGAGACGTGCTTGCGCCCTACATCTCGATTTGACTAGTAGTTGGGTACCTACGTACAAATAGTCATCAATCGCTGCATCAATGTTACACATAAGTTTGCCCACCGTCAGATTATGTATATAAAACAAAATGAAAAGTCATGCTCACAAAACCCTTGAAAAAAAAATCATGAGCGAAATTATTCAAAACATTTATATACGAGATACGGAAATAAGAAACACACCGAAACCTCACATTGTTTATCATGTAGAAGTAACTACTCCTAATAGAACGTGGGCAATCTGGAAACGTTATAGTGAATTCGACGAACTGAACGACAAACTTATAAGGCTATTTCCAAACAATCCTCCACCT